TTTATTACTAGTGGGCTGGATGAGCGGAATTTTGGTTTTTGGGTACGAGATGGCCAAATACGAATGGAAAAGGAGACAAACAGTGAAAAAAGCCGCCGCGAAAATTTTGAACAAGAAGAAAATGGGGCAAAAGGACAAGGTTTTGAACATTCAGAACTCAAACGCAGCGTAATTTACTGATTTTTGAATATGTTAATGGTTATGTTCAGGGAACAGGGAAGGCAAAAATAGAAATTTCAATGTGATAAAAGATATACTTGTAGTGTGAAAAGTGGTTGAAAAAACCGTAAATAAAGAGTTTTATAATATTATGTCTACTTTTTAAGTTGAAATAAATCTCCGTGAGCAGGTGATTCCGGATGCACAAATTTCCGAAGCGTGAAAAAATTCACTCATTTGCATACAAATCTGTGCATTTGCGTCAAAATTCGGGCATAATGTCTTCATTATTCTCGAAGAATTCAAAAAGCGAATTCATCATTCCATTTTTAGTCCGTCTTATCGCGAATTAATCCCTCACATGCATCGCTGTATCATCATCAAATCTTGATGAATAGTTAAGAACATAAACGAGTGAGTGTACGCAGTCGTGGTCGTAATCTCTGGTTAAGAAATCCACATCGTTTTATCAGATTTAATTATGCAATTCGGCACGGGAATTTATGGCTCAATTAAGAGACATTTCCCGAGATAGAACACTGGCGTACGCCAGGGGCCCAAATGACCGCTTCTCGGAACGCACATAAAGGCCCATTGTGAGGGATGAGACTTCGAGGACGCACAATGACGTCCTTTTTTCACCTTGCACCTTGCAGGTAGCGAAATCGCACCACTCCTCGAAACTCGGACCGAAATATCTTGCTGTTTATGTGTTTAATGTTTGCATTAACACTTGACACTTGGCGGGGTCTTTAGCCAACCCCAGTCTCGTGCACACTAACCCAAAATCCGGGGAAATAGCGTGGAACGGTTTATCGGCCATTACCTTGCCCGAAACAGGTGTTCCGGTAGGTGCTCATCAACCGTTACCCCAATGTGGCACTTGAGGGAGTTTCGCGTTTTTCAACTTTTTTCTCGCCTCCAAGGTCACCACTGACAGTCAACCGGAAATTAATCACCGGATTTTTCCTCAAAGTTGTGGAAATGCAAGACGCAGATTCCCAAAGTTCAGTGTCCTCTGATATTTGTGGCTTGCACCAGTCTCGTAAATGCACACCGTTTATTTTAGATGACCCGCATTTTAGCGGATTCCTGGCATACAATCGCGTCGCCTTTTTTTAAGGGCTCCATCCGGAAATGACCCTCGGGAATGCGGGGCAAAGGTCGAGCTGTTTTTAGTCTTCCAACTCCTATTGTGGCCATTTACATGACAATGTGCCTTTTGACGACTAACGAGCGCGTCCGGTGCGGGAGTACCACCTCATGTACCCAAAGTACTTGACCAAAATATTCGCAGACGAAGTCGTACAAGTGGTAAATCGATATTTTAGCGATTTTATTTCGTCATGTTTTGAACTTTGTTCGGTGACATTAATTCCGATTAGCATATTGCTGAGATAAGTCGAATCGGGATGTTTTTGCTCGACGTTTGAAATTCATTTCCTTTCCGAGTTCCGGTGAAGTTTTTTCCTCCGGAGCGTCTATTAAATCATGGCGTGGCTTCCGGTTCCGTTAAGGAAGAATCACCGGTGACAACATGGCCGCATTTACGTCAATTTGTAAATAAAGTCTCGTAATTTACGATAACCTTTGACATTCGAGGATATCCGGGCTGAGGATGCCCTTTGATAACCTATGGTCTGGACGCAGAGGCGAGGAAATCTTTTAAAAGGATAACGAGACGCGAAAAAATAAACAGATTAGATAGAAAAGGGCACAAGCGGTCACTTTATTCAAATTGAATTGGACAGAGATATCGATTTGTTGCCTTGTTGAGGGGTTTCATCCCTAGTCCGCATAAATTATTTGATTAAAAATGTGACGAATGTGGACTTTCTCCCGAATCTCTTACCCAACGAAACGTGACACTAAATTACGCAACCGAATTGTGAAAATTCCCGAAAACGCAGTCGTGAGAAATGGATCGACCTGGAAACGGGAAAGGTCACGATATTCCAATATGGTCGACAAAGCCGTTTCCGGAGATTGTTTAGAGACATCCTGATTCCGTAATGAGTTATGATTTTTTAAACGATGGTGGTTGGCATTGAAAGCGTAAGAATGTGCACGTAATAGCCGCATTTGGGGGTTCCTGTCGAAATTTTGATAAGATAACAATGGAAATGAAGCAAACCGACAATCCAATAAATACATTATCAAAGCAATACGGGAAAATGATAACAACAGTAAATCATCTTAGTTTACATATAACATTCAGCTAGGTCAGTGAATGTTTTTTACTTTTGTTAGTGTTGTTGGATGGAAAACTGGTTAAAACAATGAAATTTCCGTGTGTTATTAATTGGTGATAAGACTGAGTTATGGTAATATCAAGGTGGAAGGCGATGCAAGGGCATTGTCAAGTTTTATTTGGAAAATCAGCGAAATTTTTGATGAGCCAGAACTTACCAAACTTTGAGTTAAGGCAAATGCAAGGTTAAATTATGCTACTACTGTTTTACAAAATAAAAAGTCGAAAAACATTTAAATAGATAACGAAAGGTAAAGCGGAAAAAAATGTTCACAATTATTGCAAAACAATAGTGCTCATTTGTTAATCGGCGATTGATAATTTCGACAATAAGCGCACTTGCAGAAACAAATTCGGTATTATACTTTCTCTTTGTGATGACTAAATTTGGGCAAAATTTTGGAGATTCCATTCTGGGAAGGTTCAAATCGGTTTATAGATTTTGTAAATTCCCTAATTTCTCCGTCAAAGAGTAAAATTTTTGTCTAATTCCGCACCCAGCAGGACCTCTCAGGTGCAGGTTAATTTATATAATCCTGAACCCTTGTTTACTTCGTTTCGGAATCCGACTAATGACGAAACTCAGCATGAATCGTACAATTCCGGGTACAAGTCTTTACTTGAATTTCAATATTATGTTCATATAATTTTTTTTATCATTACGGAAGACTTTGTGATTTATACACACTTGAGCAAGATAAAAACGGAATTATCTAACTGATAATAATGATCGAAATAGATGTTACGTGGTTGTAGAAAAGTTATTGTTTACCGCAAAAATGTTGCAAAATTATTACAGTTTCTAGTTTGTTGAACAGGAGGATATGTTACACCATAAATTCATTATTGTTAATTTTCCTCAACAATTAGAATCCGAAACCTGAACAAAGCGAGATTATTTGAGAAAATATACTCAAAGAAAACTATGCGAGATAATTCATTTCGTCATACTGAGTAGGCCGCGATTTTTTCGTGTTGGTAACAATGACGACGCACCAGAATCGGAAGTGTCTTTGTTACCAACGCAACAATCACTGCCTACTCTGATTACAAATATTACTAAGAAATGCAAGTTGATGTCATTTCCGGCCTTTAAATTCCTCAAGATGAATCAACTGGAAATCGTAAAAAAATGTTTCGCGAAATATCTGGTCCTCACATGTTGTGTATAGGTGTTTAGCATTTTAATTTAATTCGATCAAGTAGTCGTGACATCAATTGTGAATCACAGTTGGCGACGTTTCCACACAAAGGAAGGAAGTATAAGTGTAATAAGTCATCGTTGAATCGTTGCCAAGAAATTCGAACTTTCTTGGCACTTTTAACCTTCGCTATGGGTAGATTTTTCGCATGTGTTTGTGTGTGTGGATAATAAAAACGTTTCGAGCGCCATCGGCGGATACATTTGGCATGTCCGGCCGAAGTCTTAACATTCCACACGCTCTGACGTCATCTAACACTCATTCCGCCTTTTTTGGCATTTTGGCGCGATCACGGTGCCTCAGATCAAGATAAAAGCGAATCGTTCAATGCCCACTCGACGTTATCGCCTCAAAAAACGCCACAAGACGATTTATTTCATTTTATTACAGTTATATCATCGTTTTATGGCTAAAAATATCGACCTTATCGTCCGGAAAATTAGTATTATTTACGGCCAATTTCGAAACCACGCCACTAGTAACAATGCCAATTTTTGGTCAAATGTCCGAAAAAAATTACGCAGCAGATCACTGGAAAAAACTGAATTGGGCGATAAGTTTGATAAGATCAAGATTGGCACTTCCTTTACTCAAATTGGCGCCCCGCAGATTTAATTATCAACATTTGTGATAAAAACACTTGTGCAATATCACTCACACGTTATCGCTATTTTTACGTTTGAGTAAAATCTTTTGATCATTCTAATTAATAAATAATCAATTGAAACTTTATCTGTTCCTGATTACGACACTGTTTAGCAATTTTTTTATTTTTGATCAGAGTGGCCTGACTGAAATTAAAGTTCGTAACAGTTTAGTTGATTTTTATCGTCAAGTAGGCTTTTTGTTACACTCGCTTAAATGGGAGGCGGAAAAGTGACTTTCTGCTTGGGACAATGAAAAAGTAATCTTTCTCGATCTCCTCGTTACGCCACTGCGTGTGTCGTTCCAAGATTGAATTTATGATCGGACAAGTTCATAAAAATAGGTTTAATTGGTAGCACCTGTAGTAAACAGTGTTGACAATCTAAACAAAATGAAATGATCCAGCCCCTCATCATAAATAAATCTTTTTTTGAATTTTTTTCTTAATCAACAGGTGTCGTTACATCGCCCTTTCTTCTCGTTATTCAACGTTAATTTGTGCAACAATCGACCTATTGCCTAAGCCATGTCTCAATAACTTCCTTGTTCGAATTCCAGCCCCGTAGTCCATCTAGCACTCCTCTCCCCAACCACCTGCCCGAAAAATCCTCGGGTGAAGTACAGATTTAGTCCAGGAGGAAGTCTGGCCGCCTCCCCCCCTCCTCAGCCCGCAGATCCGGTGTTCGGGTCGGCAACAGCGCACGTCGCCCCCACTCTCTCGCTTCGTACTCCCGCATACTCTCTCCATCGAGTGAGTCCAAACAGTTCCCAAAACAGTAGTGGTAAGGTGGCGGCCGAGTGAGCAGCGTCACAGTTACTGCTAGTGCTCGATTGGCTCGTTAGTGTGCGTTTGGAAAAACAAAAACAGTGCAGGGGTTGATGTCACGGATTAAGCGACAAGGTAACGTGTGACCCACCCTCCCATACCTGTGCACACGTGTCTTTCTTCACCTGTTGCTCAAGACGGAAAAACGCGACGCGGTGCGCTCTTCGCTCGTGTGTGGGCGAGAGGAATTTCCGGTGGATCAGAGGCGTACATGGAATTTTTTACACACCTGTCGAGCTTTTTTCTTATCAAAACAGGTGTTCGCGACTTACGTCATGCCTTCCTGGGATCTATGCAATGATGGTATTACTCAAGTTTCGCGACATGAATAAATACCACCAGTGGCGGCGCACTCGATAGGATACAATTTTATACTTCCGGTGCAAATGATAAGGATTGCGAAAACAGTGTGTGCGGACAGTGCAAAATGTTGAATAAAAAGTAATTAATCCTGAATGACAATAAATGCGTGTTTTTAATGACGTCAAAAGACGGAAGTTGTTAAGGTCGCAAAAAATAATCGTTTTCTTCCCTAGAGACGTTTCGTCTCATCAATTAGTACAGTGTTCGTGTTTTTTCATGAATTAAGCAACAGTTGCGTCAATGTAGACGTTTTCCATCGTGTCAAAGAATGAAATTAATTTTCGCTATTGCGATTACGGAAGTCGTCGTCTCGTTCGGCATTGACACATTTCTTCCTGGTGTAATAATTCACTCGTTAAAAATCAAAGGTCGGAAACCACTTTATTTCCTCTGCCTTTCTGGCCCCCAAGGTCACTTTCATGCGTATTGTTCACGTTTATTTTAGAATCCGGATAATGCGAAATGTAAATATCGCAAAAACACCGTCTTAACCTTGGAATAACTTCCGTGAGCGTCAGAACCCCACGTAGCTCCGCTCTATCATTAGTTGGTATATTTTTAAATTGCATGCCACTTCCTACTCGTTTAAAAACTCGTTAATTTACGCAACGTTTTTCCTCTAGATTGAAAATATGAAATTAGTTCCGGGCCCTTTGCCGCCGATTCCTACAAGTAGTTCGATGGATCGTCTCGCCTTGCCTTTGCCTTTCAGTCCTGATTCGCTCTTGTGGCGATATCCGCTCGGCTTCGCCTCGATCGGAGCCCAACAGCCCCCTTCTTCACCTCTGATGGACTACAAAAGCCAACTGCCCTCAAATCTTGCTTCCGACCCTAGGGTCTGGTCCCGGGATGATGTCACGACGTTTCTGCGATGGGCCGAACGCGAATTCGACTTGCAACCCATCGATATGGACATGTTTCAGATGAACGGTCAGTAGAAACATTTTGTATACGACTCGGGCTAAATTCTGGTTTATAGGCAAAGCGATTTGTCTTTTGACTCGAACGGATTTGGCTGAAAGAGCTCCCGGCTCGGGGGACGTCCTCTACAACGTTCTCCAGCTTCTCGTCAGGGATGCCAACAACTTGCAGCGAATGTTGCCGTCCAGTCCAGTCACTCCTACCTCGCGCCACCCTTATCCACTGTCTCCTCATTCGCATCCACCGACCCCTAATTGGAATATCCTGACCCAAAATAGTGATCCTTTTCATCCCTCGCACGCTGCATCCATCGCGGCACACATAATGGCTCAGAGCAATTCGGTGACGTTGAGTCCAGCGCCCTCTGTGGACAGCCAAGCTGGCAGCCCCCAACATGCCGACAATCCGCAAACGTTCGGCCATTCCATTTTCAGTACAGGGGCGAGCAATGGAAGTGGAAGTAATCCGTCCGATTCCGACGAAGACGGACACACCGGAAGCCCCCCTAATACGCCCAGTGCGTATTCGTTGCCACCACCACTGCCACACGGCGCCCCGAGGAGCCCCAAGGAGGTTGCAGGGAGTCCCGGAGTTTTTAAAGCTGTCGGAAGGGAGTTTTTCCCGAATGAATCTCCAGAACCCAACACAAGTAAGTATATTTGGTTGCATAACTACGAATGCGATTCTAATTAATATTTTTGTTAAAGATGGGCGTTTATTGTGGGATTTTCTCCAACAACTACTCAACGATCCTGCTCAACGTTACACCAATTATATCGCATGGAAAAACCGCGATACTGGCGTATTCAAAATCGTTGATCCAGCTGGATTGGCCAAGCTTTGGGGAATCCAGAAGAATCACCTTTCAATGAATTACGACAAAATGTCACGTGCCTTGCGGTATTATTACAGAGTAAATATTTTAAGGAAAGTACAAGGGGAGCGACACTGCTATCAGTAAGTTGTAGAAAAAAATTGTGTGTAACTCTTGACTGATTATTTTGTTTAGGTTTTTGCGGAATCCGACCGAGTTGAAAAACATCAAAAACATCTCGTTGTTGCGTCAAATGTCGCCGACCAATTTGAAGCCTCCGGCGCAGATCGTTCCGAGTGTGACAATCAAGCCAGAGCCTGTTGAAAGTGAGAGCGATACAAACCGGGGCGATTATGACGAAAAGCCGACCGATTTGAGTATAACAATGGAGGGGCCCACAGATTTGAGCAGTAGTAGCCGACATGTGAACATAATTTGTTCGCCGGACCCGCCCATACCGCCCCAGCATCACTAGCGACAGTGTGATGGACCTATCAATGTGCATTATTAGTGACAATACTGGTGCCAATATTTATAAGACTTGTGCAAAGGAATAGTGATGATGAAAATGTGTATATAGTTAATTTTTTAAGAAGAAAAAATATATTTTGGGTTTTTAAAGCGGTCTGCTTTAAAAATCTTTTATACGCATGTGCCAAAATAAATTATTTTTTCATTTGGTCACGAGGGTGACTGCCGAAGGCAGCTTTTTTGGGTGATCCTCAAACAATGACAATAATTAAATTCAATGTACAAAGAAGTTGGACTGGAAGGAAATTGATTTTTTGATTGTACCACATTCCAATTTTGTGGCATTTGCTGCTTTTTCATATGGAAAAATTTACGCGTGGCTGAACTGTTTCCAGTTCTATTTCTGTGATCTCTTAATGTTTGACTCAATTTTTTGTGTGATTTTAAAAAGAATGTATAATGCTTTATGTATTCTGTACATATTTTTACTGCATATTCAAAGATAATAGTCTTAAGTTTGTAAGGGTGGATAACCTAATGGCTTTATTTTTTAAAAGTGAATCGAATTTTGTGTCAATTGGTATATTGTTCCCATGTTATCAGTTCTGTACATATGTTATAAATTAGCTACCTTTCAAATACAACGCTGTCTTAATATGTTTTGTATGAGAATTTATTGTTAACGAAGATATGACAAGTTTGAAATATACCTTTACAGCAATCTAGACATTTCTTTTGATATTTTTATCCGCATTCCGCGTTTTTCTACTTCTATAAATATTTCCGCAATCTTGCCTTCTTTTTTTATACGTCAGTGGTAACAGAACAAACCTTCGACACAAACACGAAATAAGCATACCGGACATATTGTATCAATCAATTTTTTTTTAATTTTTACTAAACACCTCCACGTTTCACATTTTTATTATACAATAAGACATGACTCAATCACATCATTACAATATTTATGTAATTAACACATTTAACGTAACCGGAAAAATTGCGTCGACGAATCGTCCTATACCCTGAAAACATTTGAAACATGGCGCTCATAATCATAACCTCAAAACGTCGACGCAAGGCGCAAGCGCCGCCATTATAATTTTTGTTGTGTTATTGTACCGAAATGGCTTTATTTAAGGTAAGTAATCGAATTTTAAGCCTCCGTAACACTTTATTTGTAGACTACAACTTTATCTTCCGTTTTGCGTAATACCAAAAATATAAAAATATTTCGACACTCATCAACAACCACCACCGATCAGGAGCCTGCAAAAATTGAAAAAAGTATCTTACAGCCCCCTTATGTAACAATTTTTCATGATACTCAACGTTTCAGGTATCAATAGTGTCCAATTATTGGGTCGTGTGGGTGCCGATCCCCAGAAAAAGGGAACGGAGCAGCACCCCATCGCCGTTTTTTCTCTAGCGACTCACACGAATTACCGTTACGAATCGGGGCAATTTATGCAGCGTACGGAATGGCATCGAGTGATTTGCTTCAAACCCGGGTTGAGAGAGACAATCTTGAATTTCTTAAAAAAGGGACAAAGAGTGCACGTGACTGGTCGCATTACTTATGGGGAGGTTATGGGGGAGGATGGCAAGCCGAAATCCACCACGGCTATAGCAGCAGACGACGTCATTTTTTTCCAGACTCGTTAATAAGTTAGACATCACTTTACTCAAGATCTGATAAGATTATTTAGGTATAAAATATAAAGACTTTTTTACTTAATAAAACATCATTTAACTGTATTATCTGTTCTACTATCTGTTCTTCTTTGGAGTAGAACATTCCAAAGGCTCTCCTTTTCGAGAATTAATTTTCACTATAGTCCCCTCGCTGCTTGTTGACGCTTCAACAAGTGGCTCAATCACGATCTCCTTCACGTGGGGCTCTTTGAATTTCTGAGCATTTTGGAAAAACACACGTACGTTTCTAATAATTTCCCCGAAGTTTTTCATATCGGTGATGTGTTGTCGCAACCACAAAGACAAGTTATTTTTAATCCGCGGATTGGTAAACCGAGAATCAAGCAAGATAATTGCCCCAAAGTCATCTTTGTGTCGTATGACCCGGCCTATGGCCTGATTTATGGCACGTGTGGCTTCCAAATTGTACCAATCGTCGCCTTTCAGGTACTGAAAACAATAATTATTTTCAGGTACAAGACAAGGCGAACTCACATCTTTGTTTTTTGAGTGGCGGAAATCCAGGTACTGTTTTTTCAGTATTATTTTCGGGTCTTTCAAGGGGGGATACGGCAGTCCGGTTATAAAGACAGCCCGGCCGTTTATATCGGCGAAGTCTAAGCCTTCGGAGACTTTGCCACGACATACCCCCATAAAAATAGCCCCACTGTAGCTCGGGTCTTGGATTTTGGCATAGTACTCGGACATGGCGGTGGCGAAGGAAATTTTGTCTTTCGGTTCGACATAAATTGGCTAAAAATCAACAATAAATGGCCGGTAAATAATGTTTCCGCCGTACTTTAATTCGGTTTATAGAGTCCCATATGCCGTCGTCTTGCCAGTGTTCAATTGTTTTTTGCATAATTATGTAAGAAGGGAAAAAAATTAAAACACCGTCGGGGATTACCCGGATTAGATTCGAAATTACTAGCCCCAACGATCGTAAATATTTCGGATTAGCCCGATTTTGAAAATTACTATTTAGGGGTTCCATATCGGGGCCTTTGCTCAAAATTTTAACACAGACTTGGTCACCTTGTACAATGTGGGGGTTTTCAATCCGTACCCCGATGTCGAGCTCAAGTTCCGAAATTAGAGGCTTCAAGGGGGCCAAAGTGCCACTAGTGAGGATCACGCAGTGGATATTGCGATCCATCAACATATTCATCCTAAATTAATAAATGAAAGGTGGTTAAAAATTAAAATCAGGTCTGACTTACGCAAATCCGGGACTAAAACACCAAAAATTTAACACGCGACAACTTTCTTTTTGCTCAATTTTTTGCGAGTATCGGGTTTTCCAGAGATTTTCGGGCTTTTCGTCTTCTACTTGGACCTAATAATTGTTGTAAAAAAGTAATAAAGATGTTTCATACATTACTTTAAAACTTTCTTTGATTTTTTGTCGAAACTCCTGGCCTCGTTTGTAGTACGCAATAAAGAGTAAATTATTGAAAATTTGTAATCCAAATCCGCTTCGGTGTATGAATCTTGTCGTAGAGATAAAATCTAAAATACCTTCAATTAACTCACTTATTCCTCTATTATTGTCTTCATGAATCTAAAATTTTGATAAATAAAACTCGATTAACAAATACTACCAAATAACCTCAGCTTTTTTGAAAATTTCAAAAATATAGTCACCGTCAAAAATAGTTCCAGCTTGTGCTAATTTATATAACGTAATACCGTTTAATTCTCTATTAAATATTATCAACATTTTACTTAAAGTTTGTAACTCTTCTGTAGTAAATGCAATTGTATCAACATCTACATACTGATTTGTTAAAACTTCAATAACGGTTGCAATATCCTCAATCGCTGAATCAACATCAGTTGATTTTATTTGTACTGAGACTGACTCTTCACAAATTTTTTCAATATTGTGTGCCTCGTCAAAAATAATTACGTTTGCATTAATTTCAACGTCCATATTTTTGCTAGTCCGGGGGTCCAACAAATAGTTATAAGGCATGAAAACTACATCTGATTTTGTTTTCAATTCACGAGCCATGTGGTAGGGGCAAAAGTCACACTGACGCCCTAGTGTAACCACATCTTCTATATCTACAACACTCAAGTCGCTAATAGGGGGTGTGTGACTCGCCCTTTCTACCCTCTGGTGGTATTTACACTGTTTTCGCTTCACTTTGGTGCGACAAAGATTCACCTAAGACTCTAAATTAATACAAGGATTTCCGTAGTGGTACCTACTTTAACAGAAGCATTTTTTTCCTCAATTACTTCGGGGTCTATACACATTTGCTCCCGCGACCCTAAAACGCAAGCTTTCAAGTGATTATAAGCCGTGCGTTTCATTTCTTGCATAGCCTGACTCAATTGTGTGTGCGTTCTGGATGCGTAGATGATTCTTGGAAGGGTTGTAAGCTGGGGGCTGTCACTCCCACACTTATGACAGGTTGACTGTTCGTTGAATTGGGCTTTGCGGACTTCTAGCCAGGCTAGTGAGGCGCACAGAAGTGAAAGAGTCTTGCCTGTCCCCGTGGGCGACTCTAGAATGCCGTTTTGGCGATTTTCCAAACACTCGATTATTTTTTCCATGTATTTGGTCTGGATGTCGTAGGGTGTGAAGGGGAACTTTATGGGGACCCCTCGGATCGTTATTGTCGTCATTTTTGTAAAAACAATTGATGTAAATAAGAAAAATTACATTTAACCTAGTTTTATTGCAAACAGTGAGGTTAGAATCACAGGATGTGACAAATAATTCTTTAATAAGATGTCCAATTTCGTCTTCATAGTTGTGAGAAACTCAAGTATTTTTGTTTCGAAATTACATTTTTTTTATTTATAAAACCGGAAGTTCATCTATGATTACAACCACAACCAATATTGCTAAAGTTCTGAAATTTCATTTTTGGAGATTACACAATACAGACTTTTGAGTATATTTTGTTGTAAACAGAAAAATTAAAAATTTCTTGCAACGTTCAAATTATTTTAAAAATCTTAATTTTGTCTAATTGTTAAAAAATCCCTAAAAAGGTATAAATCCTTCAAGTTGGCGCCGTGGCACGTGTCGACGGTGTCAACGGTTGCGGCGTCGAAAAAAAAAAAATTAAATTTTTCTTGTGAAAATGGTAAAATAATAAAATATTAATATGAAAAAATTTATTTAACAATAACACAATTACTGCCGACTGTCACAATATTCACGAAACTCACTTTTGTGTTCATCTTTAATATAAGGCTCTAACCCTTTTATGATATATCTCAAATGAAACCTCTTTAAAAAAATCTCATCGAGACTTGTTTTAAGTTCATTAAGATTACAATTAGCCCGATAAACCGTCAACAAATTAATAAATTTCTTGAAACATTCAGGAGGTAATGCTTTTTTCACCTGAAACAAATCACCTAAAATAACATAACACAACACAAAGAAAATCCTCACCATAATAATAAACTCTGAAATGGAAGTCTCCAATGGCGTCTCGTTTTTCCGATTCGCTATTACAGTAATTTTCATTTTCTTAACTGGATTTTCACTCTCTGTTGTTTTCCTTTTGTGAATATTCACCAATCCGCTACTTCCGCTCGGCGTCAACGAAATCGAACTCGAACTAAAATCGAAATTACCAACCCTTGACTTCGCCCCTGCACTGGGGGGTGTATTTTCATCCCTAGTTTTGGGCACAGGCAACTGGAAAAACAGTTTAAAACAAAAACAAAACAATTATTACACACTTTTGTTTGAGCATTTTGGAAAAACAACCGGAGATCGCGCGTGAGTGTTCCAAAATTTTGCATAACTTTGATGTGTTTTTTGAGCCATAGCGACAGATTGGCTTGGACTCGAGGGTTCGTGAAACGCGAATCGAGGAGAATTATGGCCCCATAGTCATCCTTGTGGCGGATGACGCGGCCTATGGCCTGATTTATGGCACGGGTGGCTTCCAAACTGTACCAATCGTCGCCTTTTAAATACTAGAACACAGTTTAAAGTAATTAAAACTGTGAACAAGTCACCTCTTTGTCTTTGGCGTTGCACGTGTCTAAGTAGCGTTTCTTTAAAATAATTTTGGGGTCCTTGAGGGGTGGGTATGGCAATCCTATGATAAAAACAGCCCTGCCGTTAATATCAGCGAAGTCTAAGCCTTCGGAGACTTTGCCGCGACACACTCCCATAAAAATAGCCCCCTTGCAAGTTGGGTCTTTGATTTTTGAATAATACTCAGACATGGCGAAAGTGAATGAATTTTTGTCTTTAGGTTCGACAAAAATCGCCTAAAATTCAATCTTGTAATTAATCAATTAATCTGATTAAAAAATTACTTTGGTTTTATTTATTCCATCCCAAATACCCGATTGCTGCCAATGTTGTTGACACTTCTGCATAATGGGGTACGAAGGAAAAAAAATTAGTACCCCATTAGGGATAATTCGAATTAAATTCGATACGACTTGTCCTAGAGACATTAAATAATTCGGATTGTCGCGATTTTGGTAATTGCAGTTTAAAGCTTCGCCATCGGGTCCTTTAGTTAATATTTTGACACAAACTTGGTCGCCTTTGACAATATGGGGATTCTCGATTCTGACCCCAACGTTGAGTTCGAGTTCCGAAATTAGGGGTTTCAGGGGGGCTAAAGTGCCACTGGTTAGAATGACACAGTGGACACCTTGATCTAATAACATGTTCATCCTGTACAAAAATCGAATGAGTCAACCTTAAGACTACAAACCGAGGGGCTATTAACTCTGGAATTAGTTGTACAAATTTTTGGAATATAAGCAAAATTGCTTGGAATTATTTGGTATCACTGGAATTATTTCGGAGTTACTGGCAATTACGTATTTTCTTTTTTTTACGGAATTACGGAAATTACGTTTGAATTAATTTTAAATTATAGAAATTAATCTGAAAACAATAGAATTACGATGGATTATTGAAATGACTGGTATTTTTTTGAAATAACTGAAATTATTTGTGAATTTCTGAAATTCTTTTGGAATTACTGGAATTCTTTTAGGAATTATCGTATATCATGTCTTTTCAAAATTCGTTGAATTTCTTAGAACATAGTAATTAATTTGGAATTACAGGAACTATTTTGCAATTACCAAAATGAAGTTGGAATTACGGAAATTAAGTTGGAATTACAGGCATTAATTTGCAATTGTAGGAATTAATCTGAAAACAATGGAATTACGATGGATTATTAAAATTACAAGAATTTCGGTGGAATATTTTTGAAATTACTGGCATTATTTGTGAATTACTGGAATTCTGGGATTATTGAATTTAAGAGTCTAACAACTTTCTTATGCAAGCAAAAATTACTTCTTCGGCTGCACTTTTTGGCGACCTATTGCCGCCGGCATTTGACATTTTTCTCTGGGGCGCGAGTTCTGGCGTACCCTGTATTGTAATTAGACAAATTTCATGAACAATTTGTGTGAATAGAAGAATCAAGTTTGTGAGAGGCGAAGAGATTAGAGTTTTTTTTGTAATAAAAACATAATAATAATTTTGATAAAAGTTGTCGAAATAAAATCTTTAAAACTAAATAAGATTTTACAACAAATTTATCTAGTAATTACAAAAATTAAGTTAGAATTACGGAAATTAACTTGGAATTAAAGAAATTAATTTGGAATTATGAAAAAATGGAATTACAATGGATTATTGGAATTAGTGGAATTTTGGTGGATTTTTTAGAATTACTGGTACTATCTGTGAATTACTGGAATTATTTGTGAATTACTGGAATTTCGGAATTATCAGAGATAATACCTTTTTAAAATTACGCTGATTTTCTTAGAACTATCGGAATTTCGGAAATTAAGTTGGAATTACAGGAATTTCGGAGGAATTTTTTTGGAATTGGATTAGTTACACATTTTGTTCAAGTTAACGGCCCCTCGCCACAAACTTACCCAAAACCAGGACTAAAGCACCAATAGCTCAAGACACGGCAGCGACTTTTTAGTGTTGCTTTCGACAACCAATCGTCTGCCCTTTTCTTGCCCTCTTCAACGGCAATGTGGACCTAAAACCGATTAAATAACCAAATTATGAAATAAAACCCCGATCCAAAACCCACCTTGTAACTCTTTCTTATTTTTTCCTTAAACTGGGGGCTGATGCTTGAAAATGCGATTGTCAACAAATCGGAAAATAATTGTAAACCGACGCCTTTTCGGGCAAAGGGCCCTTCGTTCCCCGCTGCTAAAAACTGTATAATTTTGTCCATGACGGAAAGAACCGAAGCGTAGTTGCCATCATTTATCTAAAATTTCGAATATAGTTTGGACATTTAAGGAGAAGAAAACTTACACCAGCTTTGTTAAACATTTCAAAAATGTAGTTGCCCTCGAAATACGTGCCTTCAGGCGACACTGACTTGACTTCAATCTCATCTAACACTTTCTCAAAGTTTAGGAAAATTTCTTTGAGGATGCAAAGCTCCTCAGCGGTGAAGTCTTTAGGGACTTCTTTATCGTTAAAATCGACTACAACATCGTCACTTAAGGCCTTCATAACGGCAGTGACTTCATCAATACAAAGCGCAATATCGGTCGATTTTATCTGAATACTGGCGGAGTCTTCACAAATTTTCTCAATGTTGTGCCCCTCGTCCAAAATTATAACATTATTTGTCAATTCTAAACCTAACGCTTTCCTCACTTTGGGGTCAAGTAAATAGTTATAGGGCGTGAAAACAATATCAGCATTCTGCTTCAACTCTTTTGCCATGTAATAAGGACAGAATTTGTGGCTTTGCCCCAACTTGACCAAATCCTCAATATCCACAATACTCAGTTGCGAAATTGCCGGATCCTCCTTTTTCCTGTCAACGTTGTTATAGAAATGACACGACCTCTCCCTCAATTTCAACCGACACAGATGCACCTTCATTGCATTGCTTTTCTCTTTGAGCACCTCCTGGTGTACGCACATTTGCTCCCTGGACCCCAAAACTGTCGCTTTCATGTGGTTGTAGTTTGTCCGTTTCAACTCCTGCATGGCTTGTGACAGCTGTGAGTGCGTCCTCGAAGCGTAAATGATTGTCGGCATGCCCAAAAAGCTACGGGTGCTTTGCCCCCCGGCTGCAGTATTCAACTCTTTGAGAAAATCGGTCGAGTCATTTGTCACAAGTCGGTGGGCTTGCACTTGCGCTTTCTTCACTTCAAGCCAGGCTAGGGAGGCACACAGGAGGGACAGAGTCTTGCCAGTGCCGGTGGGGGATTCCAAAACCCCGTTTTGGCGATCTTGAAGACACTCGAGCACTTTTTCCATGTAATTGACTTGGATATCGTAAGGGGTGTAAGGGAAGTTGACAGGGATGCCGCGAATTGTAACTGAGGACATTTTTGTGAGGGTTCAAGAGGATAAATTTGAAAAAGTGGGGTTAGGTGTGCATGGAGTGACAATGTTTTAAGAAACACTTGACCAATATTGGTTTTTATGATGAAACTAACATAATTAAATGTATTTTGTGCTTGTCACTTTAACACTAGCACCAAAGAACAGCTTTTTTATTATTATAACGCCAAATTGTAAAAAAGCTTTTGGCGCGTTAACATATTTAACGAATTTTGGTTATCTAGAAGTACGGTACTGATGAAATTTCACAAAACTTTTTTTTAATGTGATCTTAAAACTTAATTTTGTTATGGTTTCTTGTAGATTTTTAGAATTGAAGTAAAATAAATCTGTTAAAGTTTTAAAAAATGTTTTGTATATTTTGTTTTTTTACTTTTTGTTCTTTTGCTCATTAGCTCGGAAATGATTATGGTTGCATCAATTGTAGGCGACATTTAAAATTGCCACAAATTCAGTTTAATTCAATGCTGTAATTCGGCTTTAATTGTTAATTAATCATGGATTTGCCGTTTAAATTGTTATTTTTTTACTTTTCCGCAATTTGTATGTCTATATTTTTAGCAGTGAGTTGAATTAGTTACATAACCTCACTTTTGTAATTTTTTTTTCAGTTTTGTATTTTGATAATTGTTACAACTAACCAATATCCGGTAATTCTAAGGAGCAAAAAAGAAAAAGAGTTTTTAGACCCTGTCACCGGAAACACGATTTTATTTCCGTCAATTGAAGATAAGCCTAGTAAAAAATTAAGTGTGATAGTACCCGCTTACAATGAGGAAAACCGGCGTAATTGGGGCTACTTCGGTCTTAAATTTGCACTAATTTAAGTTTTTAGTACCTCCTATGTTGGAAGAATGTGTGGATTTTTTAGAATCAAGGTGTAAACAGACCGATTTCACTTATGAGATAATTATTGTTAGTGACGGAAGCAGTGATGGGACCCTCAACGTGGCTAACGAATGGTGCAGGAAATTGGGGGTTGATAAGTTGAGGGTGCTTGCTTTGGAGACAAATCGGGGCAAAGGAGGGGCTGTTAGATTGGTAAGACTACTCCGGTTTTGTCCATCATTTAAGTGTCTTTGAAGGGAATGCAGAGTGCCAGAGGGGCTGCTCTTTTATTTGCGGACGCTGATGGAGCCACAAAGTTTTCAGATCTCACAAAACTAGAAAAATGTCTTTGGGAGAAAACTGGGGGTATGTATTTGTGATCAAATGTCTTCTGTAACTAGAAATATGTATTTTAGTTGACTATTTGAAAAATCCTGATGATTTGACTGGGAAAACGGCGATTATAGTGGGCTCTAGGGCCCATTTAGAGAAAGAATCAGTGGCGAAAAGGAGTCTATTTCGGACTATTTTAATGTACGGTTTCCATTTTCTAGTTTGGTTGTTTACTGTGAAAGGAGTGAAAGACACACAATGTGGCTTCAAATTGTTCACAAGGGACGCAGCAAGACTGTGCTTTGATAGCATCCATGTAGAAAGATGGTAAAAATTTGTTTTGTCCTCAAAAAATTGCAAAATTTTTTGTTTAGGGCTTTTGATGTCGAATTATTGTACATTGCCCAGAAACTAAACATTCCAATTGGTGAAGTTGCCGTCAACTGGACTGAAATCGAGGGATCAAAACTCACCCCATTTTGGAGTTCAGTCCAGATGGGGAAAGATTTAGGACTGATTTGGTTGCGTTACATGATTGGTGCATGGAAAATCAAAGAACGTATCAAAAAAGACTAAATAAAACATTTATTTCATAACTCTTTTCTTATTGGTTAATTATAAGTCGCGGCATGGTGGCGCGCCATTTAATTCCTCCACTAGTGGTTTTAAAATCCCACAAAGGCGGTCCCGGTATTGCGAATTATCTTGAAATTCTTTAACAGCGAATTTGCTCCGATTAATGAACGAAAATTCGTTATAACTGTGGAAATCGGCTACAATTTCGTTTGATAATTTCTCGGAAACGTAAATATGAGTCGCATACATGGCAGTTTCAGTCAGTGCAGCCAATTTATAAAAACCTAAAGTTTCGTCAAACTCTCGTCTAGACAATTCCCTTTCGTCCAAATTATTTTTCTTCAGCGCTTCCACAAGAAACGAGTAGTAAATGTCCACAAACTTACTTAAATTTTCCTCGACGTGTGAGTATTGAAGATTCAGAAACAAACTGATGAGGAAGTCAAGGGCCGGGGGCGTATACCTCGCTAGTTGGAAATCGACAAAAACACATTCTGGTTTATCGTTAAATAATAAGTTGTTACACCACAAGTCATCATGTGTTAGGACATTAGTAAATTGTTTCGAGGGAGCGAGCATTTGGGGCATTTTTTCGAAGACAAATTTCTCAAATTTGGCACAAATCGCATCACAGTTCTCAATTGGTAGTAATTTAATTAAATCGTTCACACATTTAGTGACACAGACACACCACTTGTGCCTCGGCTGGCCCTCAATGAACGAAAAACAAGTCTCTTTTATCTCCTCTTGAAATTTTTCGTCCAACTTGATGTTTCTTTTCCTTTCGTAAATAATTGTCGAAGAGTGGTATTTTGCCAGTGTTTTCAACATTGCGATGCAATGTAAATCGTCAAGATATTCCTCTTTTGGCATCATTTCAAAACCTTTGGCTTTCATATCCTCCAAAACGATGCAACTGTCTTTAATAAAGTAGCATTTGGGCCCAAAATTTCCAATTTTGATGAGCTCAGTTAAGAGATTTTGATACAGAATCACTTCTTTTCGGAAAATTCCTGATTCTTGGACGTAGTCGAGCTGGTTGAGATTGCCCAATGGGAGAGCTTTGATAAAGTAAGTTGACTGATTTGTGGTATTTTTTGTGTTGTATTTGAGGGTAAGTTGGTAGTGTTCACCCAAAAATCCCGCAACATCGTCGTGGAATTTTCGGATTTTGTACGACAGGAGTTGGCCAGAGTCAACACTTCGGTGAAGGATTTTTTCGCAGTCTTCGCGACTCAGAAGTGATAGAGTTGGGGACATTTTGCGGGACTAAAATTCAGAACAGATTTTCACAATTTATAGGGAGTTGAAACAATCGAGCGAGTTTTTGTATAAATATGAATAATCTTCTTGTTTCATTTGAATGGACGGACGTAATTGTGATTATGATTAAATAAATTAGATTTAAGTATTTGTATTTATTGTAATATGTAGCATTGTTTAAATATTTTTAAGAGTGGAGATAAGGTAACAATAAAGTTTGTTTAAATACAAGTGTTTTTTTTGCGTTTCTCACCTATTGTTTGAGAAGAAATCTAAATTTCCAAAAGTATAAGAGAGAATGTTTAAAAATGTTTACAGTACTTATAAAAAAAAAATTAAAACATTTAATACATATAAAAGTGTTACAGAAAAAAAGTAAAAAAAGGAAACAAGAAAATGTATCTAATCAATTAATAAAGTTTGAAGTAGCCGCTAGCTTGTTTAGATGCAACATAAGTCTTATAAAACAACTGTAATATACCTACGATTTTTTCTACTTTGCTTTCATTTTTTCAATAAAAAATGATAAAAGTACATAATCTTGCTACTTAGTGAATTTTGTAATCATAGCATGTTGATCAAATTCAAATGTCAAAAAATTTAAAATAGCAAGAAGTCCAAATTGTTACTGTTGAAATGTAGAACGAGGGCAGATGTAGGTATACCTCACCCTAGCTAGAAAAAGTCGCCGAAAACACCGATAAATTATTACAATTTTGAGGTGTATTAGTTTGTCAATTTATTGTAGTAGGTAATGCTGGTTGAGTTACCGACCTTTGCTAATAAAAAATTGAGTATCATAAGCGCTTTTTTCTATTTCGGTGTTAGAATAAGTCTATTCCAGCACCCAAATGACGTCATTTGAGTGCTAGAATAAGTCGTTGGCGTAATTTAATTTTAGTGACGGACTTTCTTCACAATTCATTTTCAAATGTGAAAATAAGAATTATTTTTATTTTTTACAGCCGCCTAAAATTATTCCACATAAATGTCGCCAACCATCGCAAAATTCTCTGGAAAAAAAAATAAAATAAAATTTTCCTTTTTTAATCTATGAAATGATATAAAGCGGCAAAATAGAAAAAATAGTATAAAGCACTTGTTGCAGAAGCACTCATTTGTTCCTCAACTACCTAATTAAAAAAAAAATGAAACACCTATTTTGGATGTAAAAAATTCAAGAACTCATACTGAAATTTTGACGATTTCAAATTTTCGATTTTTTTTTAAATTTTACAAATAACAATTTTAATGAAGGTACAGGCTGTTCGATCCAAGTCGCCCCGGCAGATAACACCTAAACTTCCTTTTTTTTTCAAAAACTATATTTTCAAATAATACTATTTATTCCTCGTTTTCTTAGTAAATGCATCAAATTTTTTTTGGCACATCCGATGTAGCCTGAAATGCTACCAAATTTAGTTTTTCACACCTATATTTTTTTGCTCGAAACAATAATAATTGGCATGAAAAATACGGTAAACCACTATTTATTACATTTTACTTTACATAATGCACTCAGAAAACAATTAAAATTTTTGAATTTTATTACAAATTTTGCAACGTAGGCGGATTTTACTTGTCAAGGTATTCATTCAAAAAGCAATATGCTTGGTTACCGTTTAATTGTTAGTTTGACAATAAATCTTATTGAGATCTTTAATAATGGATGATATTAATTACAACGAATTGGTAGATAAGCTTGAAGTGGTTTTTAAGTGCAATAAAAATAGAGCGGAAGCTGAAAGACAGTATAGAGAAAAATACTCAAATCGTTGGAAATTTAGTCGAATTGAAAAACAACTGAGACGAATAGGTTCGCTTCTTAAAACTAAAAAACCTGTGGTTCTTTGTGAAGAACAACAAAATAGAAATCTGAATGTTTTGTTATCAGTCGAAAAAAATCCATAAGAGAACTCTCTCATCAACTGACAAATTAGATTTGTCAAACCAACAATTTAACTGTAGCCAAGCATTTTTTTATTCACACCTTTCCTTTAAAATTAAAAATCAGGCTACGCGATCAATTTCCTTATACAATTCTAAGACTGAAGATGCTTCTTGATTGCATTGTGTTACGCAAAATGTAATAAATAGTGGTTTACAGTATTTTCATGTCAATTATTATTGTTTGGAGGAAAAAAAACATAGGTGTTCCATTTGAAAAACTAAATTTGGTAGCATTTCCGGCAACACCGGATGTGCTAAAAAAATTTAATACATTTATTAAGAAAGTCAAGAATGAATATTATTACTTAAATATTTACAAAAGAAGTAAGTTTAGATGTTATCAGCAGGGGCGAGTTGGACCGAACACTCTGTATATTCAGAAAAAATATGTGCAATTGTTTCTTTAATTCTTTTGTAAAACTTTGATGAATCGGTCCGAGAAAACGATTTGATGGATTGATTAAAAATTTTACATGGCTATTGGAGATATAGTACGCTGTAAAAAAACTGGACACATTAATGTCCTCATCAATGTTAATTTGTGATAGCTTTACTAAAACAACAAAAAAAGTTACTGTTTGCTGTTTTCTTTAAATCAGTGTTGATGGTATTTTTTTTTAAGAAAATCGTCAAAGGATCTTATAGGACGTTTATTCCAGTTTTTCAAACTACCCTTACATATTATGTTTGCTGAGATATCGATAATCAAAGACAAAAAGATCGTTTTTCATTAAAAGTTAGATATCTGAGCGACAAATTGACATAAAGAAAAAAAAAGCATATTAAAACTGAATAAACAGGTTTATTAACCCATGCATTGATTTAACTAAAAAAAATCCTCAGTCTGTGGACCAAAAACAAAAACAAAACAAAATTACAATTTTTTTTCTTGCACTACTTCTTAAGATTGCGTGATAACCGTAGCACAGAGAAATTTTCTGCTAAAAAATCTCAATACTAGAAATATGAAGCTTTAAAATGGTTTGTTTAAAATCTAGATACGACCATTTTTTATAGAGATACAGCAGTTTAAAAATCACCAAGAAAATTAAAAAATATTTTTGTTTTTAAAATTTTTTAGAATAGTGTAGTTTTTTGAAGAACGTTTAACATTATTTTTCAATAACTTCTAGCTGTTAAATAGGTAAAAATAGGCTTTTGAGCAAGTCTTTCAATGCTGAGGGAGCTAAGTCCCCAATTTCGCCCACATCCCACCCTCGTCGTCGTCAGTTTTGATTAAACCTTGTTCGTACACCTCACGTAGGCGGCCAGTGAAATCTTCTAATAATCACCGCCATTGACACCTCAATAATCGCATAATGAATATCCTCCTCTTTCATTTTTTTTACCTAATCGTCGCCGAATCAATCGGTTTTCTGGGCGTCGCGACGCACAGCTCGGCGCATGCCTCACCACCCGGATCATTTATTCAGTGAAATCCAGAAAGCGAGTGTCTTCGCACGCACACATTGACATGGTTTGGCAAAAGCAGCACACACCTTCATAAATCCGGGTAAGTCTAAATGTCCACAACCGGAAAAGTCGGGACAAGTTTTCAGTCCGGGTTTTAGCACAAATTTCGAGCTTATCGATCGGAAAAATGCCGGATTATTGTACGTAGTATCTTAAGACGCGATCAATATGTTGACGCCTCTGGAAGGGGGAAATTTGCGCAATTTTGACACTTGTTGCAACAATTTTTGTTACATTTAAGGGGAAATGGCCGGTCAAGGTTTGTGATAATTGCCCACATACGCCGATAAACTATCAGTTTGTCGGTCGTGTTTGCGAACAGGTGGAATTACTTTGTGTGTGTATTAGCATGGATTAGAATTTTTACGAGGAAAATGCTCAGTGGTTGGAAAAGCTCGGGCTTTTAACAGCTTATTTATACACGTCATACATGAAAACCTCATTAACGTCGACTATTTATTATCAAGTTTTGTGGGTGCTGGGATTCGACAAAGAGCTTTTCAGTCAGACGAAGGTCATGCTGCGAAGGAAAAGCTTGGTAATTAAATTTTCACGGACAGATGTGACCTATTTCCGGAAAATATTAAAGAGGGGATTTTATGCTGTCTGAACAGGAAGATGGGTTCTATTAAAATTCGGAAATGAGGTTTTCACCCGAAAAATGCCAATAATAAACCAGAAAAACTACGAAAAGTAGAATCGATATCAGAAATAGATTCATAAAAAACTGTTTTTTCACATTATTTACCAATACATAAAACTTATAAGATAGATTCGATACGAAGAATTTAAGTTAAATGTAAATTGTTAAAAAATTAAAATTTTTAATCTCACTTAAAAGTAAAAAATATCAATGGAGAAAGTAATTCTAAAATTCTATATTACTTCGTATAAATCTTGAGGAAATTGAAAACATCTGTTAATTATAGAATAAACAGAGTAAATAGACAGTTTTAGTAAACTAATGTTTAAAAAGTTATAAATTATTACAAATATTAACTTGTTTCTGCACATAGGTTTGTTTTTTATAAATAATAATACTAATAATAAAGCCTTCATTTACAACAGGAAGTTCCATTTTCTTAGTTGCAGTTACAAATTTCGTTAATTTATATCTGTCTTAATTTTTTTTTATATACAAAGTGGTTTTTAAAAACGGCAGTCGCTGTAGAACTTTTATTTATGGCTAAATTTTAAAAATTAAAAAACAGAATTAAATGGAGTTTAATATGGTACTTATAAGCTGAAAATTTTAGAACTTTTCTAAATGTTATAGTTTATTTTGGGTCATATTCAACTTTCTAATTTTAAATTTAAACTTATATATTTTTTTAATTTTTACAAATTATTGTTTAAAAAAAGTATCAAAGTTACAAAATTGTAGTAAAAGTTAATAAAATCTAGTTGCATGGTCGTATCAAATATGTAAAACAATGCCAGTGAAAGAAAATATTGCCAATATTTTTTCCAATTTTTAATAAGAAAATGACAATAATAATTAGCTACTCTTAACAAATTAGAAAAACTTCTAATATAGTGTGATTAATTTATTTTATTATTATTTTGTTAACACCAGTACACCACGCAACTAGATTTTATTATCTTTTATTGATTTTTTTCAACTTTGGTAATTTTTATTTTAAACAATATTGTTTAGTAAAGGTAGAACATATTGCACATGTTTGTATATAGTGTTTGTATATACCAAGAAACTGCTAATACCTTTGATATTATGGAAAAATAATTTAAAATTAGAAAGTTGAATATAGTCCAAAATATACTATGACATTTAGAAAAATTCTAAAATTGTCAGATCAAACTATATCAAAAGCCATTTACATAATCTATTTTTTTTATTTTTAAAATGGGGCCATAAATAAAAAATCTACAGCGCCCGCCGTTTTCTATAAAGCGCCCTGTATATTTCTGTAACAAATTAGGAATACGGTTTAATAAAGGGTTTATGTTGTATTATTTTAATCAAAATATAAAACAGAAAGCTATTAAAGGTAGTATTAGAGGTGGTGACATTATTACTTGATAAAAAGTCAAATGAGGAAAAGTATGTACACATGTTTGCATTGGAAACGTATGTAATAACATGAAAAATGATAACACGAATGATAAATAAGCCAAAAATAGTTATTCTGAATTGATAGTCTAAAATTATTACATTTTTGGTTTAATTATAACCGTTTAAGCTCAACTTTGTAATACATGTTACTTGAAGAATTATATTAAATGTTATTTGGAATTAATAGTTACCTACTATGAGCAACATTTGAAACCAACATTAGTTTAAAATTTAATTATGAAATCGGACGTTAGAAAAAAATGTCTCAAAAAATCAAGAAATTTTATATATTTTGTGGCTGGTATGAACAAAATTAGGTCTAACTTTTCTTATAAAAAAATATTTAAAAATAGATATTTCTATTACATTTTATGATGCAAATAGAAATAAATTGAAGAAAGAATGAACAAGCTAGAAAACGGAAAGGCAATAAATTGGAAACAGTTATTTAGAAAGCTCTAAAGACTAGAATTCAATTTTTTGCCTCTTTAAAGTTCAAGTTTATTTTTATTCCAATTCAAAGCACAAAAAAAAAACCTTTCAATTCAACATTTAAATCAAATTTCTAACAGCTGCTCACTCCTACGACGTCTTCTCCACTAACGCATATTTCCTCAAAAAACGTGTTTCCAGCTTGTGACAAACGACACTGTGTCTACTTGTAATCAAAAAGCAAAAATAAGCAAGTATAAAAACCCATTCTGTTTTATCACAAGTAGTTGGAAAGCTTTCATAAATGTTTTTCATAAATAAGAGTAGAAACGTTTAGAGTTTGTGGAGAGTGGATCGATTCTCTGTGTCGCAATAAACTAGATCAAGGTTTTCAAACCGAAAAAAGCTCCTTCGAGCAATTTCTTCACCTGCTATTGAAGCTTTCGGAGAGTTAATTAGTATTTCGTGCGTCACAGCCTCCGCGTGCGTTGACTTTCATCGATTTCCTTCAAATAATTCAAGCATGATTGTTTTCCAGTTAACACGATGAGTTTCTTCTCCCGATCGAGTCCCCCAAGGTGACCTCGCCATGTCTCTGGACGCCGAACGGCAATTTTTGTGTCCCCGACTCATAGACTACTTGGCTATAGTCGGGGCACGTCCTAGCAATAACGCCAGACAGAGCACCAGCCCCCCTATCCAAGCCCCCGAACTTCTCCGTCGCTACCCCATCCAGGACCACAAGGATTTTCCCATGCCTCTCGACATGGTTTATTTTTGTCAACCCGAAGGGTGTTCCTCTGTCGGCCCTCGACGGACGGCCCTTCGTGAAGCCTCTTCTTTTGTTTTCACTCTCACTGATAAAGACTCCGGGAAGACTCGGTATGGTATTTGTGTCAACTTTTACCGCCCTGTGGAGAAGATCTCGGGGGCGGTGGGGATTGGAGGGCGACGGGCGAGTACGAATTTGAGGAGGGATTCCTGGAGGAAGAGTATGGAGAAGAGTTCGGATTCGGCGTTTTCGAGGTAGGGTTGAGACTTGGTCAGGGTTGGAGTTTACGGGGGTGGTTAGTGATTATAGGAGCAGTAATGTGGGCCCCAGCGATTCAGAAAGAGATTGTCCGAGTCGCAGGGATTCGGAAACGGCAGGAAACACGATTTCAACCCCCAGACTTGGAGTCACAGCCCCGAGTAATGATTCCGAAAGCGGGGGAAGTCATTCACCCTCGCCGAGGGCCAGTCGCAGGCGTCAAAAAGTTCGCAATCATTCCCTAACTTCCTTATGCCTTCTCTCACACCATCCGTTCTTCTCGATGTTTCGGGAGTGTCTCTTCATTTTGAAAAAGTTGATAGATGCGTGTAACGAGTCGTCTAATCCTAGACGAGTTGGAGGGTCTAAACAGGTCGCGAGGTGAGTTTTTTCCTCCCAACACACAATTGGGGTTAATTGAGTTGATTCAGGGATAGTGTGTGGAGCGTCCTCACCGGCCAAGCCAGCGAAGGTGCCTCCTCAATTGTATTACATGATGTAAAGGAAATTGAAACGTGGATCTTGAGATTACTCTCGGCTCCTGTCCCAATTCCCGGGAAAACCAAGTAATCATTAAATTAAGTCTTGAGAAAGTCTAATCCGGGTTTTTAGGGTTCATGTTGAAGTTTTGTCGCCGAGTGTTTACGAACCGTTGATATTTGCATTGCCGAGTCACACGAGATTTAGCCTTGCTGATTTCCCTTTACATTTGCCTTTGGAACTGTTAGGTAATATAAATAAAAGTCTGGATCAACTTTTGCTAAATCTGATTTATTTTTAAAGGAGTTGAAACGTGTCTAAAAGTTCTAACAATAATACTGTTGGAAAACAAAGTTATTTTCCAATCGAGAGATTACAATGCTCTTTGTATGTCTGTGATGGCCTTTGTAACTATGATTTATCCTTTAGAGTACATGTTTCCGGTGATACCACTGTTACCGACTTGTATGAGTTGCGCGGAACAGGTAGTACCAACCCCAGGTGGATTTTTCTCTAACTCTAACTCTTGCAGCTTTTATTAGCGCCCACACCTTATGTTATCGGACTTCCAGCAAGTTTTCTTATGTATAAAAAGAATTTCAAGCTACCAGACGACGTCTGGCTTGTAGATTTAGATTCAAACAAGTTGACCTCGGGTCAAGATATACCGCCATTACCAGAACCTGAAGGCACAATTCTCAAAAACCACCTCAAACAGGTACGACACGTTTCAATATTTTCTCTTCTATTTTATCTAACTCACAAACTTTTCTTGTCTATTCACTTCAGGCTATGCAACTTATGGATCAAGTTGGCACTGGAGTAATTATTTTTCTTATACTAAGCACTAGTATGCTTGTAGAGCACGATATAGAGCCAACTTTAGATGCAATAATTGCATGCTAGTTGCACACATTTGTCTCGTCCTCAAAAACTCATTTTTTCCAGGCTTTGGGCAGCTTGTCAACTCCAAGTGCCTCAAGCAGCCAACTCCAACCCTCTCGAAGAGAAAGTATCCCGGTACCAACACCCAACACTTTGAGGTACTCTCCCCATAAAAAAATTTTGAGTAAAAAGAGTGTTTTAGTATTTCTCGCCAAAAATCCCCGGAAGCAAGTCCTACGCACTCCCCTATTATTTCTCCCAAACTTTCTATCACCCCTCAAAGTCCTATGCCTCCTCAAAGGTCACTCTCACCAACCCCCCCAAGCGGATTCAACCCTTTTATTTACGGCAACGATGTTGATTCGGTTGATGTTGCGACGAGAGTAGCAATGGTGCGGTTTTTCAACTCGCATAACCTTCTCGCGAATTTTTCCGAACATACGAGGACCTTAAGGTTGTACCCAAGACCGGTTGTGGCCTTTCAAATCAATAGTTTTCTCCGGTCAAGGCCACGTACGACACAATTTTTGAATCGGTTTGCGAGGACACAAGCCGTTGAATTTTTGGCAGAGTGGTCGTTAACACCGACCAATGTGGCTTTCCAGAGGGTACATACCGGAATTTTGGACCCAACTCAAATCGGAGACAAGCCAAAATGGTACTTACACACACTAGAACCCATTAAATTTACCGTTTGGGACGACGGTAGTTCCCTAAATGGGGCTTTGCGAAGCCTACAAAATCAAGAAAACCAACCAACTGATGAGAGTGGTTCAGATTCAGAAGGAGCGGAAAGCACAAGCTCAAGTTACTCTTCACTTAGCGATTTTGTATCAGAAATGGTTTCTTCTGATTTATCTCCTGGGTGTTCTTCCTACCAAGAACAGAGAAAAGCTTCGGCTCAAAACATGTCATTATCGTCAAATCTCGACGTTGATACAGTCTACAGACCCCCCTCAGAGTTGCAATATCCTGATGGTGAACCCCCTCCAGACCGAACCGAATCCCCGCAATCCTCCTCAAGCAGTGAATCCGATTTAAGCTCCCCTTCTTTTAACCGCGATTCAGAACTAGAATTTGGTCGCCAAAAAACAGAACAAGTCACCGAAAAAGAAACCGAAAGTTTTGAAAACGAATCTGACTCCAACTCCACCACAACGCCGAAAACCATAATGAGCTCGAACACCATCAAACCTGAATCGCCCGGAAGCACCACCAGTGAAGAACGCCCTGGAACCCCCCGGAAAACCCGACGTTCCATCACCCCAGTCCCTCCTGTAACCCCCATTTTGCAGAAACAACCAAGCATTGGGAATGTCTTGGCTCGGACTTCGAGTTTTGGGTCTTCTGGGAGTGGCAGCCCAGCCCCTTCCTCGGCTGGTAGTACCATTGGTGTGCAGAGACAGGGTTCCCAAGGGTCACTCTTTGAACAGTTTGCGTCACAAGCAAAAGAATTAGTCCGCGAGACGACTCGTCAAAGTAGCCAAGACGGGCTTTTGGCTCAAATGGATAAATTTAAGTTGCAAGCGAAAGAAAAATTGTCGGAGGCGGAGGAAAGTCATATTTTTGCACCGTTTGATAAGGTTTGTGTGGATGGTGAGGTTTCACAAATGATGGAGAGTTTCAGTTGACCACTCATGCAAAGAAAGCAGCAGAAGAGGCGTCGAAAAGTGTGCAAGAAGCGGGCAAAAGTGCATTTGAGGCCAGCAAAACGGCGACTGCTGTTAGCAAAAATACTCTCGAAGACTTGACATATGTTGGAAAATCGACTTTAGGCGATTTGACTAAAAGTGCGAAAGAAGCGGTGACCAAAAAGGGATTACTACGGGTACTGTCAGTCTCAAAATTTATTTTTTTTGAGTTAACTTTTTTTTAGGCGGATTCTTTCAGTAAAACGGGACCAGATTCGCGTCGAGACTCTACAAGTAGTTCAACTTCTCTTGTAGCAACTTCCAGTGTCATTTCTGGTGCTAGTCGTGACTTTTTCTCAAATATTAGTTCAGATTTGAACGGAATTGCCGCTAGTACTACTAGCATGTTTTCTGATTTGTTTGGTGGAAAAAAAGAACAAGGCAAAGCTGGTGAGCAACAAAAAGCCAAAGACACCAAAAGTGGAATGTTTGGACCATTCCCTCGTGGTCCTAGAGGTCTAGCTGAGAAAAGTCCTCTTATCAAACATACACCTCGACGCCAGGATGACATTCAAAGGAAACAATCAGTAGATCGATCTGCTACTAACAGTGAAAACCAGGCATTTTTGAAAGATGTTGTCAATCAAGTTTTGGAGGGTGAGGGTGTGGGTTGGTTGAAACTAAACCGGTTGAAGAAATTGATGGAGGATGAGTCGTACCGTAATTTCGTGTTGAGTAAGTTGAACAAGACACTGGATAAGAAAATAGCTCCGGATGATCACATTGACGATGTTTGTGTGCCTAAACCGGTCTGGAAAGGCATGTTGAAGGTTCTACAAGCCGTTGTTCACGGTCTTGAAGTGACTTACGGCAACTATGGGCTAGGTGGCATGGCCTCAGCCTTTCAGTTGCACGAAATCGCCCATACGCACTATTGGACCAAAGAACTCATCGATAGTTCAACGGATTTGACTCAAGTAAGTCCAGATTATGATTTTTGGGATTCTAGTGAGGATATTTTTCAGAGTTCAAGTCCCCGGTCTCCTCAAAGCCCCCGCTCCTCCCTTCAACTCGACTGGGACGCCTCCAGAAAGTCCTCGCAAGCGGAAGCACCCGAAGTGCGGTTGATCCAAGGCGAAGAATCGGAAGCCGAGAGTCAACAGTCAACCGCCGACATGTTCAAAGACATGCTCACGCAGAAGAAGAACATGTTGTTGAGCAAACTAACCTCGTTTGATTCTGATGTGAGTATCAGGCTTTGCATGTGCATGCCTGACCTTTGTGTTGTGTGTGGCAGGCCGAGGGGACTTTGCAAGGGTCCGGAGGTACGGTTTCGCCATCCGGGGGGTCGATCACCACGGGTCCTGCTTGTGGCTTAAACCGAGGAGGGGCACAGGCGTCCTTCAGGTCTACAGTGTCCGACACCGAAGTCGAAACCTTACAGGTGGGTCAGCTTCGGTGTACGAACTTGTCTCGGGTGACTTCCAACCCAATCCAATTTGGATTTTTGTTCCAGTTCCCCAAACTACCGAAACAGAGGACTGCGAGTGTTTGGTCGAGTAAATCCTCTTTGAGTACCGGGTTTAGGTACCATGGGGGGCACATGGTCAATACGGCGGCGTCGCCGTCACCTGATGCTATTCGGACTTACCTTTTTGAAGGCTTGATCGGGAAGGATCGGTCCTCGCTTTGGGACCAGATGCAGTTTTGGGAGGACGCCTTCCTGGATGCGGTGTCGCAGGAACGGGACATGATCGGGATGGATCAGGGACCACGGGAGATGATGGAACGGTATAAAGCGTTGAGTGATACTGAGAGAAAACGGCTGGAACACGAAGAAGACAAGTTACTAGCCACCATGTTGTATAACTTGACTGCCATTTTGGTCATGTTGAATTGTAACAAAGCGGAAGTTAAACGCAAGATAAGGAGGTTATTGGGGAAGAGTCACATCGGATTGGTTTATAGTCAAGAAGTTAACTTGCTTCTAGACCAAATCAACAATTTGGTGAGTGATTGAGACAAAAAAATTGTGTTTTATTGAGTTTTGTCGCATTGTAGCACGGCAACGATATTGATTTGAAGCCTCTGGGATCTCGCTTGCTCCACCGCCAAAGCTTTACAGTTCATCAAGGGGTGGATGGTGGTGGAGAGCTACGTTTTATGGAAGTTCGTGACGACGGCCTTGTCTTGCGCTCTGTCTCTGGAGTGATAGTCGAGCGTTGGTGGTTTGAACGTCTCGTAAACATGACTTACAGTCCGAAAAACAAAGTTTTGTGTTTGTGGCGTCGCAACGGCCAACAGACTCAACTCCACAAATATTACACAAAGAAGGTGAGGATAATACGTTTTGGGGTTTTTAGGTCAATGTTGTTTTTCCAGTGCAAGCAGCTGTATTACTGCATTAAGGATGCGATGGAGCGGGGAGGGGTCGCCGGAAGTGCTCCCGAGTTAGGTGGGGAGTTCCCGATCCAGGATATGAGCACCGGGGAAGGGGGGTTATTACAGGTTTGCATGGAGGGGGTAGGATTGCTCTTCGCTAACAGCAAGGTGATACAGGATTTAAAGATTAAGACGAGACGAGAGACTGATGTAAAGAGAAAGGGGTCAAAGTGAATGAGGTTTCACTTTGGTCTCTGAGAATTTTTTTCTTTTTGTTTTGTGTTGTTGGGTGCGCTGTGATATGTGCATTTGTCTGCAAGGACCACTCAAACTTTTCTACTTGCTCTGCCACTCGCTCGGTGCCATCTTTGTGTTTCTTTTTTTGATTAAAAGATTTAGGGTAGGAAGGCGGTCGGAGGCTCTTAATGAAGGTAGTAGTTTTTTTCTTCTTTTTTTTTTCTTTTTTTTTTTGAAAAACTATAAGTGTGCATGCAGCTCGATGTGCAATAAGTCTTTTTAAGATCTAGCTCGACGTTGAGATTTTATTTTGAATGTTTGGATGCTGTCAACTCTTTTTTCTCTTCTTCTTTCTTTACTTTTCTTTTTTCTATATATCGATGTCGATGAGTGGTCATGTTTGGCAACGGGATTTTCTCGATAGTCAAAAACTTTCGAGATGATCCCAAAGCTGAGGCTTAGGAACTTTTGAGATGGTCCTTGTCGGTTACGAACTCGTCACTAATGTTGTGTTCTGTTGGTTTCTATTTCCGTTGATCTGTCCACGTCGGTCGCTGGCTGCTTGGCAGGACTTTGAGGTATATAACAAATCTGGTCTAATTTGATCGTTAGATTAGTTCTTAGTCTTTGTTTAGTTAGCGCTTCTTCCTGTAGTTGATTTGCTGCATCCTTCACCTAGTTCCTTCCTAACACCACTTGAAAATTTAATTTTATAATTTATTTTTTTAAAAGCAAGTCCAAAATTCTAACGACACGAGTTTCGATTCAGAATGCTGCTGGAGGATGTTCGCATTTAAACGTAGTGTAGAGTGCTGCTTCTGGCGGGGACCGCATGGCAACTCACACCTGCACAACAGACACATCTACACACACACAACCATACTAATCTACTGTTTAGGCCCATCATACATTGAGCAAACCATCTCTGAAGTTGCCTAGAGCTTCACGCATGACACGCGATGGCCGCATGACTTTCTATTTTGCTTTGCCTTGTACTACTTTTAGCTGTCTCGATGTTCTCTACGTTACCAAACTATGTGTTACAGTTTTTCGTCAGGATTGACCACATCAGAAAGTGTTTCACGCAAAAGGGCGGCATTTTCGTCATCGAAGAGTTCAGTAAGTATCCTATTCAATATTTAAGCGTTTTTGAAGCATTTTCAATTTGTTTTGTGGTCGGGATTATTTGGATGAGCGAAATACTTGTGGAATTGATTTTAGTCGGAACGTGAAAATAATCTCATTTCGATACACAAACTTTAATACCTCGCGGTGTTTTTTTTTTTACAAAAAATTTAGTTGGTATGTGTTTCTCGTTTTTACAAATGTAATTACGTTTGGAATTTCAATAGCACAATTCAGTTTTATTCAAGTTATGTTTTATTGCAATATAGATATGTAGGTGAAACATTTGTTTGCGTATATGTGCTGGAATTAGAATTTGTTCGATGTTGCAATTAAAGAGTTATTTCTCGTCTCGAATCTAGCTAATATGCGACGAAATAGGACCGTAAACTCAGCACATCTCCTCTCGTCGTAGTAAGTGCGAAATCCACTATAAAAGTAATAAAATTTAAATTTAAAGTGCGCCGGAGCTTAAGTTGTTAGTGTTTAAACAGTGAAAAAGCTTTATTAGAGCACTTCGAGTGCGCAATTTGTGACCTTTTTGTTTTTGCAGACCCCAAAACTCGGCAAGTAATCCAGCGCAAGTACAAGTCTCCAATGGTAAATATCTCGTTGTTTGTTCCCCCCACACCCTCCCGTTTTGTTTTACACCCCCGTTTATGTTATAGGCTAGCGAGATGTTGTTATTATTTCACCGGATAACTTCCATTTGCATGACACAGAGAATTCATGAGTTCGTTCCCTCATCTGCATGAGCCTTCTTTTCGCCCCCTTCAAATTTTCTCGGGGTGTTTTGCAGGCCGACCAAATCTGCTACTCCGTTCTGTGCGTGTTCTCGTACGTGGCGGCAGGGGAGAAGCGTAAGGGGGCTAAACTACCTCTAGGGGGGGCCAGAGCTGAGCCTGAGACGCGTCTACAGCCTCCGAGCCCCGAACCCGGTTCGGTTACCCCAACTGGGGGGCCACCTTCGTATCCACCGCCTGCTCTACCGCCAGGAGTACCGCCTCCGGCGCCGCCACCAGGTTTGAAGGGTTTCGCCGTACCAGCGCAATTGCCGACGCGGCCGCCCCCCGTGCCCAGTCGGACTTTGCCTCCGCGACAACCCTCAACGCCGCAGCCGCCCCCCAGACCCAAGTGACGGCATGGGAGGTACTCCCTCCCGTTCATCTACGGCGGCGAGGCTTGCATCTTGCCCCCGTGCCTCCCGTGGGGGTGACCATATCAACATTCGGTGTTAGGTTAGGTTTTTATGATATTGTATATTATTTATTAGACACACCAACAGTTTCCTATTGTATAGTGTATATTGGGTGAGGCAATAAGAGGCTTAGCCTCTTAAATTAATAAAATTCTGTGCCTACATTCTAGCCATCTTGTATAATTTTGTATATAGGGATCGTTAAATCCTATTCCAGATGTACCGACTTTATTGATTTTTTGGCAAGCAATATTAGATTTGTTGTTGAACCCAAAAATGCTGATGCTTATGTAAAAGACATTTTACATGTTGAAATAAATTCTAAATGAGTTTGTTTTGCTTTTTCTTTTCTGTATCCACTTTTGCGAGATAATAGGTCGGCGCTTGATGAACATTATTAAAAGGACTTTTTTACGAAATGAAACGAATATGTAAATTTTTATGCAAATGGAAGAAGGCTTTTTCATATTAGTATGCAAAGCTTCACTAGCTTTTAGAAATGAACGTTTAGATGTTGCGATAACTGTCATTTCCTTCTTTGAGGTAACAAAAATGAACATTTGGTTACAAATGGTCTCGTTTAATCGGTACAAAGAAAACTTAAGGGATAACGGAGAATATACTGACGACGTGACTAATTAAGTTTCAAGAGACATTAAAGAGTTTAATGAAAAATGACACACCTTGACCTTAATACAGAATGAATTAGTGTTAAGAGTGAATCATTTTCCAGTAGAGAAGCAGTAAAGTAACTACTCGAAAATGTATGTTTATAACATTTTTTTGACGCTTAAAAAGTGCTTTAAAGGCATATTAAAATATGAAAGTGTTTTTTTTTCGAAAAAGAGATTAACTTTAGAGAAGGTTTGATGTTATGGAAGTCGTGGAATTGTTTGAAGGAATCGGAATCTGTTTCAGCTAAGCCCGTCTTTGCGAATTAGGTCCCTTCAAAGACTTTACTAATTCAGGACGTTATAGCTTTTGAAGTTTGAAAAAGCACGTTGCCAATTTCGTCGCATGAATATTTAAGTATCTGAAAGCCGGAAACTGATTTCCCGTGCACAAAATTGATAGAATTTTGCAGTGTCCATTTTTAATAAAATCCTAAGAAAAAAGCATACATAACTCACCCGTTCCTATTAGGAATTCCACGTTGCAGTCACGGCGCGTGTAAGGGAATAACAAATTAATTTTGAAATCTCTAATTTATCACAGAAATGGAAACGAGACACCTCGCGACGTACTTACAAGAAAATCTCCCTCGACTCGTATAAATAAGCTGTTTTTATTCAAACATCGGACTGGGAGAATCTTAAAAATTCCACGCCCTAATGTACTTTGGCGTTACTCAGAACGAAGTAGTCAAAACTTAAAATGTCATTACGGCAAATCCCTCCCTCATATCGGCTTAGCATGGTCGGCACGAACGCGCGCGTGGCCTTTTCCTATCCCCTTCGATCCTCCCTAAAACCCCTTCTTCGACGTACTCGGAATTTCAGCAACCGCAGCGAAATATTTGTGTCGGGGGCCCACATAACAAATTTAATCTCTTGTCCGCACTTATTCCCGACGATTTTAATAATTTCGTTAAAGGGACGCGACAAGCCGCTACAAAGCGGACGAAAACCACCAAGAGCAACACTAAAAACTAGCGACACGAATAGTGGACAGACAAAGACAAAAATTAATGTATAAATTCTAGGATATTTATCATGTTTAGACAACAAAGTGTTATTTTTTTTAGATAATGTTTTAATAAGCTTTTATATTTTTTATATATTATACATAATAATAAGCTGAAATTTTGCATACTTATGTAATTCATGTAACAATACAACAATAATTACTTTAGTTAATAATTTATAAACAATCAACAATAATTATTAACAATTATCTAATTTCGGACTTTAATTGTAAAACCAACTTAATTCGATAGAGCAGAAAAAAATCTTACCGGTTGTTGGGGTTTTAAAGGGAAAAACCAACCCTCTATCTCTTACAGGAATAAAGATATTAAGGGTTGAAATTTTAACATCGCTATTTAAGGCAGTTCTCCTGTTGTCCGAACAAGTTGAAATTTTACATACGCAAGTAATTCTTGTAACAATACAATACAATACAGGGTGTTAAAAAAAGAATGTATGATATTCAAGGAAGTAATATTAATTAAAAAAATTTGCCATCATAATAACCAAATTGACTTGTTCGTCCGGAAAAACTGTTTTTGGGGACTGATGAGTACCTAAAATTTTACGTACTTACTATTTTATTGAATCTAGAAAAAAACTCATTTTAGAGACTCAAATGAGTCCTTAAAACAGCTATTTTTGGAAGCGAATACAAAAAGTATGTTTTTTCTGAGTAGAACATTTTTTCTTACAGTTCAGGGCCGTAACCAGGATTTTATTTCAGGGGGGGTTTCTTGTTGGTCCATGAAAATGAAATTAAAGAAGACGAATTAAAAAGCAAAAATCTCTAAGTACACGTTTTTATTTTAAATTGAAATAAGAGATCCTAATTAAACATAAAAAATACAAATTAACTCACAAAAGTAACAAAAAATAAAATAAATTTTTAATACTTTTTATTGTTACAAATTTAAACAGGAGATGAATATTCATTTTTAAAACAAAAATTTTCTATGAACATATATCGAAAAATGCTACGCAAGGGGTGCGTCTTTTAATAGTTTTTTTTTCAATATTTCCGAAATCATTTTAGAAAAAAAAATCAAAATTTGCTACAAATGATAACTTTTATACACCTAAACAAGTACAAAAATAAAATGTGGAAATTTGTAATTAGGTGCTTCCTAAACTAGATGGGATTAGGGTAGAAATTTACTCTAACTATTTTGCCTGTGGTTTCTTGCCACTTTCAGCAACAAAATTTCATAGTTTTTCATAAAAAAAAGTCTTTTGTGTTTTTCCGATACAATTTACGGATTTTTAGTAAAAATCGGTTCAAAAATTTATGTTACAGACCATAAACAGCATAAAAATTAAAAATTAAATTTGTTTTACCGTTTAGGACGCCCCTGATTAAAAATTTTGTTATTTGGCATTTGTTTGGGTGTACATATAAAGGTACCAAATTTTGTAATGTTATCTATTCTGAAATATTAGGAAAAACCCTTTAAACCCCCTAAACCCCCCCCTTGGGTACGGCCCTGTTACAGTTTATGTTTTTAAAATTTATAACACCTTTGGGGCAGTCAACTAAGCAAAGCAATTGTGCATTACTTGTGGTGTTATTACTGCTTCTAAAGCTTTTATAAATTTTAAAAACTTAAGCTGCAAGCAAAAATGTTCTTCTTTTATACAGATGCGCCAAAACTCGCGCTCCAGAGAAAATGCCATGTAAAATAAGATATCATCAAGAACATGGGAAAAATGTTTAAAAAATCTTATCTATAAAAATTTCAAAATTATGAGAGTTTAAATTTTACACTTTGACTCTATTTGCTTATACTGGAAAAATAATTTTCCTAGTTTTTTTGCTATAGGATATTAAAAGAGGAAACAAGGAAGCTGTATCCTAAATTGTAACTCTGTTTAATGTTATTTGAGGCTTTTATTGGCAAAATTTTTGTAGTTAAACTAAATAATTATAAAAAACATATACAAGATTATCAGTGTTATTAAATAGACATTAAAAATGTGAAATGTCAAAAAATAAATGTCAATATTTTTTGACAAATAGCATTTTCGAAAAATTTTAGGTAAGATACCAGGAACATGGTATCTTACCTAAAATTTTTCTCTAGGACGCGAGTTCTGACACACCCTGTATCTAGAACATTTTTTTAATAAGAGATTTTTTAAATATTTTTTATGTATTTTTATTTTAATAGAGGGTGTTTCACACAATTTTACGAGGCTTGCGCCTAAATGTACGCACCCAAATATACAAAAAACACAAAACACTGGATACAAAAAATACACATTTAATTATTTAATTTTTGGAAACCCATGACAGTAGTTGGCAAATTAATCACTGTTTCATTAATAGTCATAAACTGCAGTTTTTCAGAAACAATTATCATTTGTTCTATCAAGAGACGGCATGAATATGATTCTAGTTTATCTATCTTAATCACCAACTAACTAAGAACGTTGTAATGTTTGAAAGAGTGAACAAAGTAGAGAAAATTATCCAATTTTTCAAAATTTGTAATCGAGTTTGTATTGGAATATACTATATTATTGATTGCATCTTACAGGCCTAGGCCTCGTAAAATTATGTGAAATACCCTGTACGTTGGTGCAAAGTTGCTGTTGTTGATGAAATTTGACCTACCCTTCAGGATTTTTTGTTGTGTTTTTAAATGGTTTTTGTGCTATAATTGTTTATTGGTTTGGATAAAAATTCCTGCTTGAAGTGGTGTGAATTTTCTCCATAATAGAAGCAATTAGGATACCGCTGTTGATGCAACTTCGAAACTTCATTACGTCTCTTCACCCACAAGATTCGTGTTGTTAATCGACGTCATCTCACGTACATCTCTTCGTCGTTGTGATAAATGCCGCAAGGGCAGATGGATGGATTCGCGTTGTGCGCTGTAAGTCGTCCAGAAACCGTAGTTATTAATCTCTCGCCAAAACATATCCTCGCGGCAATAACAATTTCTGCAAACTTTCCTAATATAGATTAGTTTCGCGCTGGTTTCGCCTTGATCAACTCGATCTCAAGAATGTTTCGCCGCAAATAACGATTCGCAAGCCTTTTAACGTAATAAAATACTTGCTCTTTCGTAGTCAAATTACTTTAAGAAATTTTCTTTGTGAAACGCAAATGGAATTCAATTTCGACGAGACAAAGAGCGTTGTTTTTTCCCTGTTAGTGAAAAATCGAATTAATTGCGTTATACAGATTGTGTAATTCGTATGTGCCGAAATAAGTAAAAGTTAGTTAGGTCAACGGCGAAAGAAGTAAATTTCTATTGTTTGCGGGTTGGGTAATGGAGCTTCGCCCTAAAGAAGATTTAAATGCCCAACCCCCATCTCGTTATCCTGGCGATAACCCCAAGTGCAGGCCACCACGCCCCATTAACTTTTTTCCTTAATTAAATAATTATTTACAAACGAGTCCGATCTCTGGTTTATTTGCGATACGAGTACAATGCGGGGTTAATCCCCCTCCAGGGACGGCTTTAAACGATCATTTCCTCTGCTTTTTTACACTAGTCCCGTATGATGGCTCAACTGGGACCGGATTGAACGCGCTATTTCGAAAAAATCTCGCAAATATTTGGAGAAAAAGAAGGGTGAAGCGAGATAAATATGGAGGTCGCACTGCCTGCCCAAACATTTGCTTAAGGTAATGCTGTAAA